CGCCTTCTGAGCCTAGTGCACGAGGGCCTGAAGCCCGGGCAGTCCCTGAAGTGGGTGCCCTGGCAATATCGCCTTTCATCACGGCAATACCAGGAGCGCATGGAAGCAAAGTCGGCCCGAGCCGTGCGCTCAGAACTGCAACTCCTGAGTCAGGCCTTCTTTGACGACACACCATCCGTGGAGCACCACTCGCTGTCAGCGGGGTGGCTCACCCGCGTCCAGACCGTGTTTCGCAATGCCCTGGCCCTGTGCCAAGCAGCGCACCTGTCGAACCTCAAGGCCTTCGACAAGAAGATAGCCGACCTGTGTCTCACACAGCCAGATCCTTCGTACGGTGAATGGTCCCTGGATGATGCCTTGTACGAGCTGACGCGCATGAGAAACGATGTGCGCAGCCTCTTACAGCTGCGCCCGAAAATATCCAAGCCATCCGTGCCAGCACCGCCACGCCCCGCAACACCACGGCAGAGGGGACCCAAGCGCGACCTTAAGCCAGCCCACGTGCCTTCACGCCCCACCAAGAAAGGCAAGGGGAAACCCAAAGGAGCCACGCCCCCAAAGCAGAGTGGTGCACTACCTATAAAGGGCGCGAGGTCTGCCGGCGCTACCAGACGGGCATTTGCACTAACGACCAGTGCCACTTCGCCCACGTGTGCGCCATAGTGGGCTGCCAGCAAAAGCACCCCGCCATGGACCGCAACAAACACACGTGAAACAGCCCGGATCTTGGACCGGCGCAGGATCGGGCAGCCAAACCGCGGCCGGCCTTGCCCCACAGCGGGCCCCATGCGCCATGTTCACCATTGCATATGCCGGTGGAAGCTGCCCTGACTCCAGCCTTGCCCTATGCGCGCCGTAACGAGCCAGGCGCGTCGCCAAGGCCACACACGCCCGCCCAGGCAAGCTGATCGGAATCACCGTTGCATCCAGCCTCAAAGAGGCTCTTTTTGGACGTGTTTGCAGGTAGGCTGCACCCGGTGACATCCTAGTCTTCGAGGGGTCAGGAATCGTGGCCCTGATAATGCTTGCCCCGCCTTGCAAGGAATATTCCAGATTCCAGACTTAAACTACGCTGTGGCGGGCCCAAAGCCTTGAGAACGCCGCAGTACATGAACGGGGTCCCCGGCCTTTCGCCTTCGCAGCGTAAGAAACTGCTGGATAGCAAGACCATTCACGACCGCGGCAGAGCCCTGTTCAGAGCAGTGGTCTCCAAAGGAGGCGTAGGCATTTGGGAACAACCGCCATCGCCATGTCCTGGCTGGAAGAGGCTAACTTCCAAATGCTACGCGATCACCAATGTGCCCTGGTGTGGGTAGACGCCTGCAGGCACAATAAAGCCTTCTCCAAATCGTGGGCGTTCGGCTGCAACAGTTCGAAAACACAGGCCCTGGAGGCCCGTTGCAATCACTCATACAAGCACCGAAGCATTGCAGGCGTGAAAGAACAAGGAGTATACCTCAGCACTCTGACCGCTGAATACCCGCCTTTTCTGGCCCTGCAGCTGCCGTGTAAGCTAAATTTGCCACTTCCAGGCTTTCGGACGGCGAGAGGGGGCAGTCCGGAGAGCTGCTCTTGATGTGCGCCAGGATTCGTGGCACCAATTTGCGCTCATGCATCCAATGCAGCCAGGGCCTGGCGACTGCTTGCAGTGGGTGTTCTGGCTTGGGACAGCACCAGTCTGCGGAAGAGTGCATTCCTGCTCCGTCGCAGGTCGGGAGCCTGCAAGGCGCCAGTGTGATGGTCCTGGAGATTTCGGAGTGCAATGGCAGTGTTTGTCGGAAGGAACCTGTTTTGCTGACCCTACCTGGCCTGCCCTCCAGACGTGAGCCCCGAGGCAGGGCAGCCGTACAGACTCCACCTGCTGCAGGCCTTGGCCAACTCTTGGGGTGACCCAGACATGGCCCTCCGTGTCAGCCTTGCCACCCAGCCTTCAATGGCCGGCAAAGAAGCCAGACTCCACCCTGCCGCCGGATCTGGAAATCTGTGAGGGCAACTGGAAGATGGCCGAGGACGAACCAGAAACCGTGCAAAGCTTGCTGCGCAATGAAATTGCCAACAACTGGATTGTAGAAACCGGCCTTAGCATCGCCGAGGCTCGGGAAAAATGGCCCTTGGGCATTGCCGTAGGCAAATTACATGTCGTTCTTGCAGAAGGGAAAGAGCCGCGCCTTGTCCTGGACAGCACTGTGTGCCAAGTGAGTACCAGATGCCATCTACCAGAGCGCCTGAGCCTGCCAATGGCATCGGACCTGGCGCTGTCCACGGAGGACACTCCAGGCGCCTTCGTGGGCGCCAGCATTGACTTCAAAGCCGCACACAAACAGGTGCATGGCCTTCTACTATTCGCCTTTCGCTTTTTTACTTCGTGCATGGGTTGCTGGCTTGGAAGCCCCACAAAGCCTTCCTTTTTGTGGACGACCTTCTGTGTGCACTCTTCCGAGATAGCGCGCCAGATATGTTTGCCTTGGTGGTGCTTTTCTTTTGCGCCGTTGCGGCGCCAATTTCATGGAAAAAGGCGCATTCCAGGACAGCCTTGTGTGGTGCGGCTGGGAGATCAACTTCTCCCATGACACCATTCAGCTCGTGTCCGCTAAGCTGACCAAGCTGGACGCCTTGATCAAAGCACTGCTGGGGAGCCGACGGGTACTCCGCAAAACACTCGAGCAGTGCATAGGCCTGCTCATTTGGGCCACCAGCATTGCACTGCGTCTGAGATCCTGGCTAGCGCCGCTATACTCGGACCTCAACAGCCCACCAGGCTCGATGCGCTCGATACCGCCTCAAATGTGGTCAGCCTTCAGAGCATCCAAGAACAAGGATCTCAAAACCAGCCATAGCCTTCCCGGCTTGTGGATCACAGTGGGCTCCAAAATCTTGGAAATTTCAGGTCGCACCATGCGCTGCCCTCAGGACATCCCGCGGGTGCTCGGCACTAGCAAACCCACGTGGGTGCGCATCGCGGACCCCAATAACCCATATACTAGCCTTTCCAAGTCAAGCCAGCAATGCCTTACATGGCTGGCGTTGTGCTTTCAGCACTCGCCCGTTCAGCCCTTGGCGCGGCCACACCAGCTGCAAGCACTGGCTGCAGCGGATGCGTGTGCCGAAGACGACTTGGTAGGGATAGGGGGCTGGGCAATCGCATCCTCCCAAGTGGTTTGGTTACATCGCATGTTTCGAGACGCTGGCGCAGTTAGCACTACTGCAAGCAACCCACAGCCACATTGGTGGTGGGCACTACTCGTTCAGCATGCCTTCAGGCACGGACAATTCCGCAACGGAAGCAAGCCTTAACAAGTTGTTCACGACCTCCTGGCCGTTGCAACTTTTCGTGCAGTTAACAGCCTTCTGGGCTCACGCTCACAATGTGCTACTGCAGCCAACGCACGTTCCAGGAAGGTGCAATGATTGGGCAGACGATCTCAGCAGAGGTCGGTTGGCCCGATTCAGCCATCGCCCTGAAAGTCGCATACGCTTCAGCCCTGCGGGCCTAGCAATGTCAGGCCGAGGCATTCAGCTGTGTCCGATGGATGCGCCCTGGCGCCCGGAACACCTGGCAGCTGCCTCCAGCACTGCTTAGCCAGCCTTATTTGCATCCCAACATGCATTGCGACCAAATGGCCGTCTTCGCCCTGGCAGCCAGAACAACTGGCTGCGTCAGCCAGCCGCTTACATCAAGCCGCTCTGACCGAAAAAAGTGCAGACCCTGAGCAACAGGCTGCTCACAGCCGCAAGCGTGCATTGTCACGCGGACATTTGCCCTGCCAGGTACAACCCCACTCTGAAGGGCGGGTGATGAGGCCGGCGGCCCAGCTGGCTCGCTTATACCGGGGTTGCCTGAAACACTGAAGGGGGGGTCAACGCACCTCCTGTTCCAGGCGCACCAGTGCCCTGGAAGCAGTGCTACTTTCAGCAATCCCGGTAAAAAGAACTGCGGCCGCTTCGGACTTGCTTTGTTCTTTTGGGGGTTCATGTTTGGGTTCAAGCTAGGAGCAGTGCAACATGCCTTAACGCTTAGGGTTTCTTTTCCCTTGTGTTTAGGGCATGTTGTGAATCGAACTACGCGGTGGCCGCTTTGCTCCTAGCCTTGACCCAAACTTGCGGTTTCAGTTGAAACCCACCCACCCACCCTGCACTGCCTTATACAAGGCTCTGCAAGCATAGGTCGCAGACGCTCTGCACTTTCGTTGGTGGTCTCAGGACCGCTTGGTCTCCGGACCAGGTCTCCGGACCAACTCTGGTCTCCGGACCGACTCTGGTCTCCGGACCATTCGGTCTCCGGACCGTTGGGCGTGGGCACGCGTGCCACGCCCTGCAAGCACTGCATTCATTTGCAAGGACACGCATTGTCTTGCCTTTTTTAGTTTCACGGGGGGTCAAAAGCACCTCCTGTTCCAGGCGCACCAGTGCCCTGGAAGCAGTGCTACTTTCAGCAATCCCGGTAAAAAGAACTGCGGCCGCTTCGGACTTGCTTTGTTCTTTTGGGGGTTCATGTTTGGGTTCAAGCTAGGAGCAGTGCAACATGCCTTAACAATCCGGAGTCCGTGGCTGCGCCTCAAAGGGCTGGCCTTTGGCCAAGTGGACCCCTTCCGGGAGCTGTGTGTGAAAAAATCTGGGGGGACCCAGGGACTTTGAGAGCTCAAGGGAATCGGGAATCGGGGGGTGGATCCAGGGAGGGTAGGGGACTTGGGGGACTTGGGGCACCCAGGCGCCTTTTGCTCTCTCCGAGCCATTGAAGCTTGCAACCCATCCATGAGACGCTTGGGGCCCTAGGCCTGTGAGGCTAGCTTGAAGGGTGGAGCCGAAGTCAGCCTCCTTCAAGACCTTGTGCTTCCAATTGCCAGGCCGAAGCCCAAGCATCTTCCCGGGGCGCGGCCGGTGAGTGACGAGCCCCATGCATCCAGGGGGCAAAGGAGCTGGGAAACATTGTGCTTGCGGTGGTTTCGGATTTGACGGATCAGCGCCCGCCATGCGAAATGTGTGAACACATTTTTGCTTGTAGCTTGGCCCAAAGAAGCGCTCAGAAGCAGCGCTGCCGACGGTCCACGCACACAGCGCAAAGTCGCGCTTTCAAATCCGAGGGAAACACTGCGCAGCCATGGGCGTGGAGACGACGAAGGACAGGAGGAGCCGAGGCTGGTCAGCTTCAACTCGTGCTTGGTAGGACTCGTTGTCGTCAGGCGTTCGCTCCCGCATTCTCCTGACTGCAATCTCGTGGCTTTTCTTGCACACGGCCAAGACCTCGGCAGCATTGTTCCAGTGCTTTTGTTTGCTGGTTGTGGCCCCAGGTACATCTCTTCACCATCCCTCACGGGCGGATTTCACCGAGTCGCCCGGGCTGGAAGGACACTAGATTCTTGGGCGTCCCACGGGGCCCAGCGGAGCTTCTGGCTGAGAAGATCCAGCTGCTGAACGAGCCCGAGGCACGGCTGGAAAATCGTCTGCTCTTGACTTTGTTCTGAGATATTGCTCTTGACACGCGCCGTTGGTCGTTGTGTGTGGTTTTGAAATCCCCCCGCGGCCCGCAAATGCTTTCAATGGGGTTGCCCTGATCAACATCCACAGAACCAGGAAATCCCAAGATTACATTTGTGCAGATTGCGGCGCTTCCTGTCGTTGGCAGGCTCGGTAGGGACCCCCCATGAACGGATGGTTGCCTTTCCTTGTTGGAGGTCGGTCATTCCTGCTGGTCGACATTGATTGAGACGTGCCTTTGATCGTTGTGAGTGATTTTGTGCTTGCCCCCAGCCTGCTTTTGAAAGAGCAAGACCTGCCCGTCTGCCGGGGAGAGGGAGGGCAAACTCTGATGTCTTTGCGCCCATTGGGGTCCTTGCTGCTGCAGGCACAAGTGCATTCTATGAATGTTCTCTTTGAGGCAGTGAGCTCAACCATTCCTGGCTTTGCATCCACTGGCAGTGTTCTTGCTCGATGTTTTGCCCGTTTTGCTGCCATTCCATCCCCTTCTGACATTCAATTTTCTCCGTACCTGTTCAGATCTGCCTGATTTGGTGTGAGTGGTTAGTGGAGCGCAAAACTATCAAACAGTCGAGGGGGAACCCGCAAATATTGAAGAGCCTGCTGTTCCAGTCGCCTGCCTTTTGAAGAGCAAGACCTACCCTTCTGCCACGGTCGTTGCTGCTGCAGACACAATGCAATCCGAAGGTTAAATTTTGTTCCGACAGCACGAGCATGGAGGAGATTGCGAAAGTGTGCGCAATGTATTTCTGCTGCCGGGTGACGTTGAGACGTGCCGTTTGACGTTTTGTGTGGTTTTGATTTCCCCCGCGGAAATGCTTTCAGTGGGGCTGCCCTGATCACATCCACAGAACCTCAACATATTTGACGCCACTCTCCCCCCTCATCAACCTTGTCGGGGTTCCTGGGAACTCAGTGGTTTTGCTCAGCGTGGAGCCCCACAAAAGGATTGTTGAGCTGAACCACGCATCTCCCGCTTTGCTTTCATGGGCAGTGTTCCTGCTGGAAAATTTGGTTTTGTTTCGGTTTTGGTACCCTTGTGTTCCTTGCTTTCCTAGTGCTCGGCTTTCGCACTAAGTACCCATGCTTCTTTGTGATCTGTTGTGAATGGTTAGCGTTTTGCAAAAACCTGGACCAGTGGGAAGGAACCTGCTAGCAATCGATTTTCTCACCAATTGCCGATGCGTGTTTGGTTTGTTGTGATTGTTTGTCCTTCCCAGCATTCCCTCATGCATGGCCAGCTCAAGTTTGGGCACCTCCCGCGCAGGTTGAGAACCCTCGTTTTAGTGCCACAGATCTCTTGGACTTTGAAGACCGTTTTTGAACGGCCGAATCAACAACAAGGAAGAGCGGCCGTTTCTGGAAAGGGAGACGGTTGTGGATGCAGTACTCAAAGAGATAAACGAGACCCAGACGCTGAGCACCAACAAGCCACGAGTAGTGTCCTTGTGGAGTCCGAGGGGCACCGGCAAGACATCGCTCATCCGCCACCTGGCTTCGAAGGTGTCGTGCTTTGCAGAAAGCCGAAGATGTGGACGGCTTTTGGTTCTTGATGCTAGAGGGATTCCAAAGTCAGCGTTTCAGGAAGCTCCCAGTAGGATTGCTTCTGCAATTGTCGTGTGGCACCTGTCACAGTTGCTGCGCGGATACAGCATCGAAGTGAGTGGGCGGGTGATGAGTTTTAGGGGCATGGACTTCATTGCAGTGCTGGAGGCACTCAAACGTACATCGGTACGAAGTGCAATTGATATGCGCGACAGCTTCGAAGTTTGGCTTCACTCATTTTGTCAACAGAAGCAGGACGTCTTCGAGCAGTGGCTGTTGGTGACGGCTGCAGCCTTCAATGCGACACCAGACTGCGCTTGCTTGGTGTTCCTCGATCAGGCAGAGCTGCTTGTGAACAGACAGGTCGAGGGACTGAGCCACCGGGGTGGACAGAAATCAGCTTTCACCGAAATATTTAGTGAATTCCCGGAGAAGATGGGCATGTTTTCGGCAGGCACGGTGAATATTTTGATTGATAGGCCATCGGAGGAGTACACCTCGCTTATTGTCCAGGAAGTACCGGCTCTACCGCCGTTGTCACTGCAAGCCGCCAGACGGACCATGGCAGAGTGGGGAGGCTCGCAATACAAGAAGGAGGAATTCAACAACATTCACCTCTTCTCGGCTGGGGTACCCCGGCTTCTGGAGGCGGCTTTCCAGACCTGGGGTGAGTTGGCATCAACTGCTCAGGTTGCACTCAATGCCATGTCGCAGCAGTTCAGAAGCTCGTATGCGGATGCAGCCCCCTACTTCCGTCAGCCAGAAGTGGCTTTGGCGTTGGTTCTTTGCTCGGCGGTTCGTGCCCGGAACCTCACTGAGGTGGTCAGACATTTTCAGGGCCGGAGCAGCATTTCCAAACAACAAGTCTGTGCTGGTTCCACGGCTGTGGTGGTGTGAGGATACCAATATCAAAGACGCCATCCGAAACGATTTGAAAGAGCTGAACATTGACCTGGAGGGGCTCCTGCCAGATTCCTTGCAGTTGCTCAACAGCCCAACAAGGGGTGCCACTGAAAGGGGGGAGAAGTGGGAAGAGCTGGTTGCAAATTCCCTGGCAGCGCGGTTCCGCCTTCACTGCATAGCAAGAAACCTGAGTGCTGAAGTCACCTGGGTCCCTTTTTTGGAGATCTACCCTACGGAGGATCCACATTTGCGAGCTGTTTTGGAGCCGTTCGAAGTTTGCTGGAGTGATGGTGTGGAATATCCAAGCGGCCAAGGCAATGAAGCAACTGTCATGAGTGACGTTGGGAAGGCCATCAAGTCCAACCGGAATTTTGCAACGGCTCACCACGACCTTTTGATCCCTGTGAGAGGCAACTGGTAAGCTCGAGTTCATTGCTGCGCAATGTCGTTATGGAAAGAAAAAGGATGCAGGCGGCCTGAAGTTGCAGGACAAGGCAAAGAAGGACAACTTTGAGGACATGCAAAATGTGTTGCTGCAGATTTGCAGTGAGTCTGAAGGCTGGCAGTCCTTTACAAACGAGACATGGGCCAGACGTCAGGAGGAGAAGAAATGCTCTCTCATGAGTTGCGAGACTATCATTGCGCAGCTGGACGTGCTGAAACTTTTGTGAGTGTACAAAATTCGCGCTAGCAGGTGGGAGCAGGGCGGACTTAAGGTCACAAGAGGCTTCACATGTTCCATGGGTGTCAGGCTTGCATCCACAAACTGAATGGCCGTTTTGGGCAGGGTCCAGGGATCGCTCTAAGGTCGAGATTCGCAAAATCGTGTTTGGGCTAAAACTTCTCTCCACAAGCTAAGGCATGTTGCTTCCGTCAAGTGCTCAAGAAGGTCAGCGGCCCGAATCGCTTCTGGGCCGCCTGGGCCCCAGGAAGTCGTCCAGCTGCCTCACCGCAGCCGGTCTGCCCCGCCTTCGCCGCGTTGCCGCTGCCCTGCAGCGCCGGCAGCGCCAGCTTCAGCAGGGTCTCCCGGCCCTCGGTGCTCGGCCCGCAGCTTCTGCGCGTTGCTGTAATGTTGGTTGAAGCTCCTCGCCGCATTTGTTGGTGCTTGGAAAGCCCCCACATCCTCCACTGCCCTGATGCGCCGGTCCGTGAGGTCCTTGTTGTGCTGAAATTTGTCGGCGTTGTCCTGCAGCAGCTGGAACTCGGTGGCCGGCTGCTTCTCCACATCCTCGGGGGCGCCGTATACCGTCTCGTGTGGCCGGGTTGTAGGCCCCCGCGGCACGCTTAAAGTGGTCGCTCCACTGCCCGCCCTTGCGGGCCACGCGCGTGGCCGGTCCACCACGGCCGTCACGGCCTCCGCCCAGCGTGGCGAACCCAGGTCGGTCGTGACCACGAAGTTCTTGTCGTCCCGTGGCCTGGCCAACCGTCTCGGCGTTCTTTTCTGCAGAGGCTCCAGCCTCCCGGGCTGAAGTCGAGCCGGTCGTTCGGCCCCTACTTCCCCAGCGCCCGGGGCGCCTGCGCTGCCTGCCCACGTCGGCCTTGAGCGCCTCGAAGGCCATGGCCTGCGTCACGAGGTCTCGCTGCCTTGCGAGGCCCCCGCACATTGAAGTTGGCGAGATTCCTCAGCGCCTCCATGTTTGCGGGTTCTTGGCCTGCCAAGCTTCCACTGCGTGGAGGCTGGCCTGGAAGCCCTTGCACACCCCCCAGAGCACGCTGGTGAGGTGCGAGTAATCGAGCGTGACCATCTTGGTGCCATCGCTCCACCTCGTCCCCCGTCAAGTATTCTTCCACTTTGTTAAAACCCTCTAGGCCCCGTGCCGAAATTGGGTAGCTGTTCTGAGGTCCTTGTTGGTGTTGCTTCCCAAGTTCCATTGATCGCCATTTGGCTCAAGACACAATTGAGGTTCAAGATCTGATGTGTGACTGCGCACACACGTGACGGGCATTAAGAGCAAAACAACTGCTTGCGCTGCATTCGTCAGGACCACTGTCGTAACTATCATTCCTTCTTCCTTACAACGTTTACACGGGTTCGGCTATAACGGCATCGTCCGTATACACCTTTCTACGTGGTTGGTATTAAAGCTTGAGGGTTCGGTGCACAGCGTCCCACGGGACGTCACCTTGCCGTCTCTTGACAGGTTATCAGCCGTAACTACAAGCTCTACACTGGACTGGGAGACAGCTGGTTTATTGCGGGTACAGGGACAATAAAGGAACGATAACCTACACAGTACAATGGCGTCTTCGGCGAGCCCAAGTACTGCAACTTTTGGGAACAGCAGCTCAGAGGGATCCAATGGATTGATGGCTCTTCCTGCGGTGATGGATATGGTTGCAGATTCACAGGATGAACCTGGGAGCGGAGGTTCCGCGCTATTCAGCGACATATCTACTCCCACAAGATCATGGAAGCAGATCGATGTTCATCAGGAGTCGAAGAAAAGAGAATCCCCACCGAGAAGATCATCATCTTCGCCTGCGACACCACGGACGTCGCAGAAGGGCGTGAGATCGACATCGAAGGGTGGGAGGTCAAAATCACCCACCAGTGCAGATTTTCGCGCCGTGATCAAAGAGAAGAATAAGATGGAGGTGGAGATCGGGGAATATCAGAAGACACTTGATGAAATGTCGGCAGCAATGGCGAATCTTAACCAAGAAGACTATGGAAGCACCATCCGGATCCAGGAGCTGGAAAGACGATGCGAGATTGCCAGCAAGCAGTCGGGACATCTAGTGAGTCACCACCAACACCACATGGCTGAGGCATGGCGCAAGTTTGAGGAAGAAGCCCAACAGATGCGCAAGGTGGAAATGAACGCATTTCAGTACGGGGAGAAGAAAGACATGGAGTCGAATATTATGATGCAACAGATGAGGCAAGCTGAAGGAACTATCATGGAGCAGAAGCGGGAGATTGCATTGATGAATCCTACATGGCAAGCGAGAAGTCGGCCGCGCAGGAATCAGCTATACGTGCAAATCAGATACACCGTGAGGCTTCACAACAGATATCAGCTTATCAGCAACAGATCAGAGGCATAGAATCTTCTACATCTATCGAGAAGTTCAACGAGGAGGAGATGGTCCAAAGTCTGAAATCACAGTTGGAGCATGCACTCGTCAAGCGCCCCGAGACGTACTCTTTGGAGGACTCCAGGGAACAGCTGATGGCGAGGCTGAATGACGTTACAGTATTTGCGGAACAGGAATCGAAGAGAGCAGATTGCTTGCTTCGCGAAAAAGAAGAGATCGTCAAACAGTATGAGTCCGACGTGTCGATGAAGGACCAGATGATTGCTGTCGAAGGTGGTCATCGTCAGGATGCGATCTTGGAGTTAGCCCAGGTCAAAGAAGAGAAACAAGAGGAACGGTGCACGATGGACGAGAAGTCGAAGGAGGCTGAGTACTGGAGATTGACAGCTAAGGGAATGTACGATGAGTACCTCGAGGAGATGCATGAGCTTCAGGGACAACTGAAGGAAAGAGAGGCGACGCTCAAGCAAGAAGAGAGTTTTGTACGCCAACTCGATGCTGACAACGAGGAACTACGTGCACACAAGAAGCTGGAGACGCAGGAAGCCTCCAGCAGCAAAGATGGACATCGTGAACGAGCAGTAGTGAAACGCGCTGAGGGAGGAACCCAGGCTAATTCGAATAGGATAGGCAAGAAGGTGGCTGGGTTAGTCCCGTCATCGTCTTCAAATCAAATCCCTAATTCGTCGCTGATGCCAGGTTCGATCCTCTTTCCGTCTTTCGGTGATCCAATGATCGATGTACACCTATCCCAGATGCAAGGGGTTGTTGGGCATGTCCCACAATCCACTACTACGACTGGTGGTGGTGATGGGAGGGGGAAACAACGGTACTACGCCCCCATTGGATTACGGTGGATTCCCGCCCAATGGGAATGGGCAGGGAGCGGGTCGACGTCAGTTGAGCCTCGCTGGTGGCGGAGGAGGACCTCCGGATGATCCACCCGATGATGAGGATGAGGATGACGACGACGAAGGAGATGAGGAAGACGAGGAAGAAGAAGAGGAAGAAGACGATCGGACACGGAGGAGACGAAGGAGATCGAGAGATAACCGAGAGATCAAGAATGATCGACCGAGAATCTCGAGGAAAGAGGCCGAGAGAGTATCTATTCCGGCCTGGCCAAAGATCCATCAACTTGACACCTGGAAGATGCAACTGCTGATGAATGTTCTGAGCGCATGTGCAGATCCAGATACCGACGCATGGACGAAATGGCTGGAGCAGGCTCTTGGGTTGAACCCAGACCTGGATTTGCTTAGCGATTCAGGTGGCGACAGATTTGCTACGATAGATATTAAGATGGCCATGGGCATGCAGAACATGCTGAAACAAGCACCTGACGAAGCCAAGGACGTATACCTCGATGCTACACGACACTCTGAACTACGACATCAACAAGGGGTGATCGTGAAGGGACGAGAGTTGGTGGCATTAGTTATGCAATCATTCAGAACTTCCGATAGAACGGATCTTGTCTACCACATCGAGCATCTATTCAACCTTGACTTTCCTGGCGACAAGAACTTGGTCATGTTCAGGAACAAATGGTATGATTTGCTGCTGAAGATGAGGAGCGAGGACAGACCCAGTAAGCTGGCTCTCAGAGACATCCTTTACAGGAAGATCAAAGGGAGCAAGAAGATGGAGTTCGGCCTCAATGCCTACCATAGACTACCGGACAAGCATCCTCAGAAGACGTATGAATTCTTATTGGCGTTGATCGACTATCAGATCAAGGCAGATCGGGAAGACCTGATGCTCGACATGAAGGAGAAATCGGTCAAGTCGATGATGAAGTCAGGCGGGAAGGATGCGGCTCCAGCAACTGGCAAACAGGAGAACCAGGGTGGCAAGGGCAGAAAGGGGAAACCCGGTGGACCTGATGCCGCTCCTGTGCTCCCAAAAGCCAAGGCAAAGGGCCACGCTGGCAAGAACGGCAAGTCCGACGGTGCCAGCGACAGAGGCAAGAGTCCGGGCGGAAGCAAGGATAACCCCTGCTGGTACCACTTCAAATCGGCGAAGGGGTGCGTGAAAGGGAATGAATGCACTTTTTCCCACAGCAAGAAGACGGAGCATAAGTTGGAGAGCATGTCCAAGGGGAAAGGAAAGGGCAAATCCAAGTCCAGATCATCGTCACCAAAGAGGGATGATGGAGCATGCTTCGCGTTTCAGAAGGGGAAGTGCGATAGGGGAAGCGCTTGCAAGTACAGACATGAGCTCATCAAGAACAATTCAGCTCCAGCAACGTCAAATGACAAGGCGCAAGCCAAGTCGAAGGCTGCCGCCAAAGCCGCAGCGCCTGCCATTGCGAGGAGGGCCATCGCAATGCCCGCGATAGTCCTGAAGCAATCGGCTCCTGCGGGGAAGGTAAGCTTCAAGAAGGACGTTGATCATGTCGAACCGGACGAAGCCGAGACTATCTACCACGAGCACGATGACGACGCGATGAGCGAATCATCGAGATGGTCTGGCGAGTCCGAGATCCCCGAGAAAATGGTGTGGTTCAAGGAAGTGCTCGACGTCGACGAGAATGGGGAGATCACCTACCTCGAAGACGAGAGAAGGCAATGGGAACGAAAAGGGGAATGGTACGGTTATGAGGACAATGAGAATGAGCCTTATCAGTACGTGTACG